TAAATATCCTTTTATACCATCAGCCTTATCGCTAATGAGGGTATATACACAGTGATACGGTGAAAATATGCCTCATCGATATCTGGGTTTTAGACCCCATATTTCTTTGGAACAAATCCGTTTCAAATAATTTGGTATCGATTTACAAATAACCATCCGTCTGTCTGCCTGGCCGGCTGGTGCGCACGATAACTATAGAAGGGAGTAACCGATTTCATTCAAACGTTGCACATCGTAATATTTTTACAAAACTTAGTTCAAGTTCGAAGATAGGGAATTTGAATCCACTGCTTCCGGATCCTTCCACAGAAAATGATCAAAATTGTGCAAAAATTAATTTTATTTTAACCAAACTTTGTACAACCTATTATCTTTAGCAAGCCTAGATCAAGTCCGAAGATGGGACCCATAATGTCCACTCCTTCTGGTACCTCCCCCACGTATGGTCAAAAATTTAAATATCATGCAAATGGAATGCCCATTTTGAACCACATTTGCTCAACTTTTTACCTTTACGAAGACTAGATTAGGTCCGAATATGGGACCCATTGATCAACTCCTTCTTGTACCTCCCCCACGAATGGTAAAAAATTTGCAATATTTGTACATCAAATATCACGCGATTGGAATGCTTGATTTAAACCAAACTTCCGACAGCCTAAATCATGTCCGAAGACGGGACCCATTGGTCAACTCCTTCTGGTGCCACCTCCACGAATTGTCAAAATTTTCAATATTTATACATCCAATTTCACGCGAATGGAATGTACGATTTGCACCAAACTTTGCACAACCTATTTTCTTTACCAAGTTTAAATCAAGTCCGAAGATGGGACCCGTTGGTGAACTCCTTCTGGTACCTCCCCCACAAATGGTCAAAACGTTCAATATTTATGCTCTATTTGAACCAAACTTTACACGACCTATTTTATTTACCAAGTTTAGATCAAGTCCGAAGATGGAACTTCTGGTACCTCCCCCAAAGAGGGTCAATATATAAACTTGTATTTTTTTAAGCAAATTGAATCAATATTGTTGATCAATATGAAATTCGAAACCTCTTAGTAAATAATAAATTCTGTGTGTAACTTCGAATACCCCCGCAAAACATTTGCTTAGGGTAAATATCTGTCTGCAACACCGATTTTATATTACGAGGGCAGTTCGAAAATGTTCTTAGCCTAGCACAGAAAACGCGGTGTAAACAGAAAAAAGTTAAGTTAATGAAAGCACGCAATTCTAATTTTCCATTGTAAAAAATTGGGGATTCGTCTTATTTGAACACCTGTGTCTACTTGAAGGAGTTGCCAAATCGAAACAAAATTTAACATGTGTTTATAAGAAGTTTTCAAAACACTTAAGTTTTTTTCTGTTTATACCGCGCTTTCTGTGGTAGGCTAAGAAGTTTCCGAACTGCCCTCGTATTTTATATTCATTCAATTTTATTTTATATTATTTTAATTTTTGTATCCCGTAAAAATCCGATCCAAATGCCATATCCAATTAATAATTTGATCTGAACATTAGAAGAATACAGGACGCAGGAAAGAAATTATGATCATCCAACTGTGACTTGATATATTATTGCTGCAATATAGAAAGAATCTACCCGATCCTTTGCCAACTAAAACCTTTGTTTTGTTGTTTTTCCCCGATGCTTTTGGTCATCAAAAATAATACATACATACTTACCATTCTGTTAAAAGTGACGTCATCGTGTGAATAGTTTGTAATTCGCTTGTAATTCAATTATAGTCCAAAAAATATGTTATTCTCCACAGACATAAGGGTTGTTCTGTTGTTCCAACATGAATTTTCTGCGTTTTGCAACAACAAACAAATATTATGCCGGTGCATTGTTGAAGGTTTGTTTGTCGTTGTGGTGGTGACGACTATAACAGCAGCAGCAGCAGCAGCCGCTTGTGAATTACTTAGTGGGTATGGCGTGATTTTGCGATGGCGTTCTTTGCCTTTTTTTATTTTTCCTACGATTTATTTAAGCTGCAGCTTTGTTTATGTTTCATAATGGTCACATTTCTGCACGCCACTAGTATTTGGATTTTTTTAATGTTTTCTTATTTTGTTTTTCAAAATTAAATATAAATATGACAATAATTGCAAAGGAATTGGGAAAAAAGTACCCCCCAAACCCCTTTAAAGTTTAAACATTTTTAGTCATTTTTTGAACAACTAATTTTTTACTACTATTTTCTTCGATATCGTAAAGGCAAAATAAGACAGTAAGATTATAGGTAGGAACAAGGTCCTTATGACTCTTGAGGTAGAAGATAGTATGCTGACAAAAAAAAAATAATTTGGTCTAATATTGTTCGGTGAGACAATTCTAAATTGAAACTGTTCCCACCCTAGTTGTTTTCACAATAATTTATGTTATCATTGGAAATTTTAAGAACTATGAGGAAGAATTTTAAAAAATTGTTCATAAATCATAAATGAGCAGTTCATATCCCTGTTCAATATATTTATTAGATATACCCATTTGAAAAGACAATACCTCTCCAATCAAAACTGATAGATGAGAAATTAGAAATTCGGATATATACCAAAAGCATGTACGAGGGCAGTTGGGAAAGTTCTTAGCCTAGCGGTTGCGTCTTTTTTGAACAACTGTTTCTATATGAAGGAGTTGCCAGATCGAAACAAAATTTAACATGTGTTCATAACAGAGAAGGAAGTTTCCAAAACACTCAACTTTTTTTCTGTTTATACCGCGCTTTTTGTGCTAGGCTAAGAACTTTCCGAACTGTCCTTGTACAATGAGGTGTTTATGACTCAGGCCGACAGAATTTTCGGCTATGAAAAAGAGACCTTGTTGACCTCCGATCATTGATATGCTCTCCGCGTCGCCAGACTGTTAGAATATAATTGATCATGTAGAATGCCGTCCTGAGAACTGCAACAGGATGTCTCCTCAGCCACCAAATAATCTTCTTCCGAGGAGACGAATTTCATACATGTCATATTCAAATAAAACAGAGAAAGATCTTTTTGGGGGAGGGCAGATGGGTCCCAACATCCGACTTTATTTAGGCTTCGTAAAGGTAATAGGTTGTGCAAAGTTTGCTTCAAATTGGAAATTCCATTCGCATGATATTGAAAATGTTGACCCTTTGTGTGGAAGGTACCAAAAGGAATGGACCAATGGGTTCCAACTTAAAACTAGGTGTGATAAAGATAATATGTTGTATAAAATTTAGTTCAAATCGTATGGACTATACGATTTGACTATTCACATAATATTGGATTCATAAATATTGAAAATGTTGACCCTTTGTGGGGGTGGTACCTGAAAGAGTGAACCAATGGGTCACATTTTCCTATTTGATTTGGGCCTGGTTAAGATATTATATTGTACAAAGTTCTTTTTTTGCAAATAGGATATTCCGTTCGCTCGCATCCCCATTTTGTGTGGGATGTACCAGAAAGTGTGGACCGGTATTTCCTCTCTTCGAAGTTGAACTAAGTTTGAAAGAAATAATAAGATGTCAAAAGTTTGGATGAAATCGGCGGATATTTGTAGATCGGCTCCAAATTTTGAAAACGGATTTGATCCAAAGAAACATGGGTTATATAGTTTTAGCTCAGCTAATATCAGGATGATATAACCCACTTAAATCGTATTGGCAACAATTGATGGTTCAATACCTAACACCTGTCCAGCTGGTGGACTAGGACTAATTGCTGCCTTAATTTTAATAACAAATTATAATGAACAGACAGAGGGACGGATCGATTAATACAACTAATCGAGATATCGGCATGCTAAAAGGATAGCTGGAGATCCACTTTGTAATAGAAGTTCCCATAAGTACAGATTTAAATCAGCTCGGAGATAATATTTTTTTGATCTAGAGTTTTTGGGGTTGGACGAATGATTGATTGGGTCTTTTAATATATTCATTTATTCTATCAACTTCGGAGGGGTCTGAATCACATTTTCCGACAAAATACCAAACCTCGAATTTAAAAAATGCATACTCTCAAAATTGGGAGTCCTGGTATTACCTGATTTAAAAAATCGAAATTATTTTCCATAAAATCTATAAAATTTCATTAATTTACATCCCTTTAAGTTTTTTCTATGTGACAAAAATAATAACAATTCCCCTTTCTCTTTCTCTTCCACAGAAGTACATCAAAGTCAACAACAACAAAATTTGGTTAAAAGTTGGACTGGTTTTATGCTAAAATCACACCAGTGTTTTCCCGAACTCTATATACAAGAAGAAGAACAACAACAGCAACTAGTGTTTCAAATGGTTCTGTCAAAATTCTACTACTAGCAGCAACAAAAGAAGAAGAACAAGAAGAGGAACTACAAGAACAGACAAACTTACATTTAAATAAATAAATAAAAAAACGAACTCTTAGTGGCATTTATATTAACCATTTCCAACAACAACAATAACTACAACAAGAAGAAAAACAAAGCAAGAACGACAACAAGTGATTGAGGAAATTCGGAAGTTTCGGAAGAAGAAAAAGGACTTATAACTCCAAAAACTAACAACAAATACCACCAAGCAACAAGAAATTGTGTGAAAACCAACCCATACAGCAGCAGGATACGGAGGAAGAAATGTTTATTTCAGTTCCAAGATAATTGGAACAGTCTGGACACACTACAACAAACTCCTACTTATCAAAACACAGATATCTAAACAACAACAACAGCAAGTGGCGAAAAAAACCCAATTTTACAACAACCAAATATTTATATTTTGTGTAAATTAGTTTTGTATTAGTGACGTGTGTGTGAGTGTGTTTTCCTTTCCGCAAACATTTGGCCGCCAAACTCAACTCTCATCCTTCTCTGGCTACTTCTTTAACTTGGACTTGGACACCATAACAAAAACATCTAACCTAAGATCTTGATTTTCATTTGTTTTTGGCGTACTCCATTTACGGAATCTTTAGTCTTCTTGTGCAAACTACAACTAATATATAGTTATAATACTACATAGCTTATACCATATATATATTTATAAATATATATATTCACATAATTAGTAAATAATTATTCAACGTGTGGCGTTTAAGCAGCGTTAGCGGCTTAATAACATTTAGTTAGCATGGAGTGCTGTTTATCAGAAGAGGCAAAGGAACAGAAGCGTATCAATCAGGAAATTGAACGACAGCTGCGTCGTGATAAACGAGATGCGCGAAGAGAATTGAAATTACTGCTATTAGGTAAGTTGTTTATCTCTTTTTTTTCTTCTTTTTTAATTCTTAATTTCGTTTTGTTTAGAAATGGAAAGTAGACAGGACGGACCCTATTAAAACCAATTCATTCATTAAATTCTAATTCAGACCATAAAGAAACTGGGTCGGATATATCAATTTTTTTATATCAAACATAAATTACTAATTTGTGTTCAAACATTCAAAGTTCTGTCTTAAATATTACGAGGTCGCCTATCATGATTTAAACAGACGGACGGAAACCGGTTTCAATCAGGAAAGATTTAAGAAGTGTTAAAAGGAACACAAAATAGTTAATTGGGACCCTGAATGAAATATGTCGATTTCAAGCCGGTCCCTAAGACAATCAAATTATAGACTATCAATTCGAAAACTCCTCTGCCCAGGAGATTTCCAATCACCCCTGAATTGAAAGAATTTCAGTAAACTCAGACTTTCATTAGGATGTCCCACTAAATAATATTAGGTTGTCCCATAAGTTTCATCCCTTTTTGCATGGGATATGATCAAATGCCCATGTACCGTTGTCTTGGGAATGTTAGTGTCATCCAATATCTCGGGCACACTATATCGGGAATTTTCAGCGAGAACAGTATTGATAAAGCCCGCATCCGTCGTTACTGTCCGGCCGCTGCGGTCTTCATCTTGCAAATCAAAATTTGCCGGCTCTAAATTTCTTAAACCAATTGCGGAGGGTCCTAATGGTCGTAGAAACACTCCCGCAAACCGTGCAAATCTCTTCTGCAGTGTCCTTTACACTATTGCCTCTTTTTAAGCAATGATGCATAACATGCCGTAAAAGCTTCTTTTGGTTCTCCATATTAAACGAGGCAGAAAAAAAGTGTATGGTACCGAGTCATCCATTTTTCTCCAATAGTAATTAGGGCGACTGCGCCATTATAATCATAGCTGTGCTGAGACCAGATAAACACGTGTAATCTGGGGGTAGGTACTTCTCACATGCTGTTATGGATGGTGGAGGGTCTCCCAGTATAACATTCCAACGGTATTGTTCTACTGCCTGGGACTGTATCTGTATGATTGCTATTCATCTTGTTAATTCGTATATTAAATCATGAATATATCCCTAACAAGGTCCCCGAAATGCGCCCTAAGTGCTGGCGACTTGAAGATATTGTTCCTATTTCTCATGTTATTACAAATAACAGTGGCTTCCCCTAGACGACTTGAAAAGGTAATATGTGGTCAATCATCTTTTCAGACGGCCAAGTGGTTTTAAGGCCTCCGCCTTAATTCGACACTTTGATACGCCGAAAATATGTCTCATCGAAATATCAATTTTAGACCCACTCGCGACTTCTTTCCCCTTAGTGGTCGTCTGTCTCAGAACCACAAGTAGTCTCCATCTTTTGATCAAACAATCATCCGCGTACCTTAATAAGAATTTAAGAACATTAGAATATGTTTTGTGAATTCTAGCTCATCAATGTAGCATATTCCAGATTTCCGTATGGTCTTCAAGATTTGACTTTTGTTATTCAAGGAATTATCCACCTGTCCCTTTCCATTTCAAAATATAATATTTTCCCTCTTTAGAACATTAAACATATAACACCTAAACTTTTTTTATTTTTTTATTTATTTCCATTTTCCTCATTAATCATAAAATATCCATATTTTTTTATTTAAATCTAGGTACTGGTGAATCCGGTAAATCCACATTCATCAAACAGATGCGTATTATTCACGGCAGCGGTTATTCAGACGATGATAAACGTGGCTATATTAAATTAGTGTTTCAAAATATATTCATGGCAATGCAGTCGATGATTAAAGCTATGGATATGTTAAGTATATCATATGGTGTTGCCGATCATGCGGTAAGTTCCACCGTTTTTTTTCTTTTGTGGTAATTTTTTTGATATATAATTTACAATTTTTTTATTATAATTCCAGGAACTTGGTGAACTTGTTATGAGCATTGATTATGAATCAGTAACAACATTTGAAGATCCATATTTGTCAGCCATTAAAACATTATGGGCCGATGCTGGCATTCAAGAATGCTACGATCGACGAAGAGAATATCAATTAACAGATTCAGCTAAATAGTAAGTTTTCTATTTTTATTGTACCGACTTGGACAGATGAAATAAAATTCAAAGAAACTTCATTATCGTTATGGGGGATCAAAGTTGGATATATTTTTATAAACTGTCTGCAGGTTCATTTGTGGTATAGAAAGTTTTTGTTTTAAAACCCAAAAATCGTTATATCGCAAAGTTTTGAAAAATAATGTTATTTGAAAACATAATCACTTATGGCTCGTATATGGATTTCTACATTAAATATATTAAAAAACTCTATTTGGTCATCAATATTCGTTAAAAAAAACATATTTAAAAATACATTTTTAAAAACATTTTAAATAACCCAAATTGAAAAAAATATTTTTCAAAATACACTGCTTGAAAAAAATATTATATATTTATTTAAATTGCCCTCTTTATATCAATATGTAAGTTTCCCAAACACTCCTAATGCGTCCAAATAAAAATTGACGAAAAGACATATATAATCGCATTACATACGTGGTCATCAAAAAATAGTCGTTGTGAAAACCTTAAATAAAAAATAATTGTATTTCTAGAAAACATAAACTAATTATTTTTATATCCTCAATTTTTCATAAATTTATCACTTATCTTTAGTTATCTAATGGATCTTGATCGTGTGGCTCAACCTGATTATTTACCAACGGTACAGGATATTCTACGCGTTCGTGTACCAACAACGGGGATTATTGAATATCCATTTGATTTAGAAGAAATACGATTTAGGTACGAATATGATGTCATTCGGTTGGCGTTTTTTTTATAATCGAAATGAATTTGAATGCTGCATGATGTTGCATGTTCTCTTCTTTGTCACATGTTTATGTTATAATCACTATTGTTTGATTGTTTCGTTACTAACAAATCTCTTCTTCCTTTTCTACTACTAACTAACTAAAACAAATTGCATGTTCGCATTTTTTTTTTGGTGATGGTGAAATAATATATATATTTTGTATATTATGTATTATATTATATATTCACTAAATTATATTTTTATATATAAGTTTAAAATTTTGTACATAATTTTTCCTCAAAGATTTAAATTAAATTAAGTTTCTATCAAATGTTCATTTGAAGATTATTTTTTTAATGGATTAGTTTTAAAATTATTTTTTTAGAAGATTTTCATAAAACATTTCCAGTTTGGTGGATTTGCCAACAATGAATCTAGGATTCGGAATATCCAAGCAAGAAAACAAATTATTGATTTTATCGCGGCGAAGAGTGGATCACAAATGTTGATAGTTTAATTAGAAGGTGGCCCTCAAATGTCAATCCGTTATATATATGTAATATCGATTTAAAGCCACTATGAGTGTCATACACTTTTGGCATGGCAGGCCGGAACATATACAAAACGAAGAACAGACTTTGCACAGCTAATTTTAAAAAACGCGTTGGGGTAGTTCCCATATACAAATATGGGAACTACCCCAAAATTGATAAAAAAATAAGAAATTACAGTAAATTCAAAAAGGTACCCAAATATTTGACTACACTATTAATTATATGGACCCATATATCCTATTTTCTATATCAAACATACATTATAATTTTCAAAGCTCTATCTTAAATATTGATTTTAACAGACGGACGGAAGTAGGTTTCAGGCAAAGTTTCTAACAATCAGGAAATATTTAGAAGTGGTAAATATGTCGATTGCCATTGCGGACTATAAATTTGAAAAGGTACTCTGCCTGGAACAGATTTAAATAGACTCAGGCTTTCATAAGGATGTCCAACAAAATAATGAAATGGTCGGGGATTTGTATCTTATTTAGGACAGTTAAATGTTGCATCACAACACAACCCACATAAGAAGGATCTGGACAATTAATTAGAAAAGGTGTACTTCTATATAGATATTAGTCACCTAACGGGATCAAGAGGGTGTAAATAGCGCGAAATATTGCCCAAGGTCAGAATATAGAACCCCAGAAAGTTAGATTTTCATGGAAGTTGTGTAGGATATAATATGGTCGGACCCATCCGACTATACTGGTTTTTACTTACTTCCTTTCCTATGTAGGTCATGTTTTGTTAATTAAATATATTCGTTTCTAAGGCACTGCCAACTTGTAAAAGTCGTGGAATTTTTTATCTATTCTAGTGTTGTTCTATTTTTTTTTTCCTAATCCAACTATCACCTGTTTTCATCAAATATATATTTTAAGCCCTTCGCCTAATATTTTTTGATACCTCAACAATGTGTCTAATAAAATATCTCTTGGATTTGACTCTACTCGTAATCCGTTCCCCTTATAAACATTGTTTCGGAATCACAAGTAGTATTGGTTACATCAGCATCTCTCTCTTGGGATTGTCACATAATATATGTCATATTCGGAGATAAGCTTAAAATCGTTGATCCAATAAAACCAACTTATTTTTTCCCGCAGTTGGGAATTTTTTGCCTTCATAGGAATTAATTTTCACTTATTATATGTTTACACTAATGATATCAAAAATTATTTATAATCCATATTTTTCACATTTTGGACAGACTTTTTATATTGACTTAGGATACATTCTTCCAAGTCTTATAATAACTCTCTCTCAAAATTTACTATAAATTTATATAGTTATATAAGTGATATACCACGTATTGAACAACCAGACTATTTGCCAACTGAACAAGATATTTTACGTGCTCGTGTACCGACTACAGGTATCTTGGAATATCCATTCGATTTGGATGGCATTGTATTTAGGTAAAAAACAAAACAAATATATTTTGTAATTAAAAAAACACATCGGAAACTCCTGTAAAGGCTAAACGTAAAATGTGAAACTCCCTGGGTTTACATCAGGTTCCCTCAGCGAAAAATACTCTATGCTAATTGTACATTTATAGTTCTGCTTTGTTATAACCAAAATTAGTATTAAAATGTAATTGGATAGTTGTTTTTAAAGTTTGGCAAATATATCATTATTATTAAGCTTTTTTAATTATAATCTTTATCTTACTTTCTGTGCCTAGAAAATAATTTTGTTATGCATTTTCCCATTAACCGCTTTTATGTACATATTGTTTTCCTTTACTTGTTGTTTTTGTACTCTTTTGAAACTATCATATTTGTAATTTATTTGCATACTTAATTCGTGTTTTTTTATATTAATATTTCACAATTTCTTTCCGCTCATCTATCTATACAGAATGGTAGACGTAGGCGGTCAGCGTTCGGAGAGAAGAAAATGGATTCATTGTTTTGAAAATGTAACATCAATCATATTTTTAGTGGCCCTTTCGGAATATGATCAAATTTTATTCGAATCTGATAATGAGGTAAACACGATTGTTTATTTATTATTATTATTATTATTAATCTTTAATTTTTTTATTATTCCAGAATCGTATGGAAGAATCAAAAGCTTTATTTAGAACTATTATTACGTATCCTTGGTTCCAGAATTCATCAGTAATTCTTTTCTTAAATAAGAAAGACTTGTTAGAAGAAAAAATTATGTATTCGCATTTGGTAGATTATTTTCCTGAATATGATGGTAAGTTTCGTAAAAAAGTCCATATTTATAAGTAAATACTACGTAAAAAATACAATTTTGTATCGAAAGCAAAGTTGGAGGGGGCATGATTTCTTTTCGATACAAAATTGTATTTGTTGTACTTAATTTATAAATTTTTATTTTATATTTTTTTATGATTTAAACATGGTTTAGCTATTTTTAATTTTTAGTTCAAATATTAATTAAAAAAGAACAAATGAAACTAAAAAAATACAGTTTTGGGTTACGCCACCTAAACTAACTTCAATCAATCCACCAAATATTTTATGGAATCTTTATTCCTTACAAGTAAAACATACACAAAAATATTTTTGCAAAAAAAAACAATTATTTTCCTTTACTGAAAATTAACTTTATAATTAATTATTTAAATTGCAATTGAAAAACGTTGTACTTTCAAACTTTCCTTTTAGTATTTGCCCCAAGCTCAACTAAAACGAAAGTTTGAGCTTAACCAAACAAATATTTCCTTTTATTTAATGTAGACAATATATTTTTTACTTTAAACAGATTATTTAATATAATTTTTAAAATATTGCCTTGAATTATTATTATAATTATAAAAATGAAGGTCCCAAATGCGATCATGCCGCTGCAAAACAATTTGTTTTAAAGAAATATTTATCGGCCAATCCAGATCCTGAACGTCAATGTTATTCTCATTTTACTACAGCTACAGGTTATTTATTTAAACACTTTCTCTGTCTTCTAAAATATATTCAAGGCATTTATTGATTTTATAATTTAATTATAGTTTTGAAGTATACAAATGCACCATTCATGTGTATATATAATCATACAAAAAAACTTAATTGAATATAGAATACTAAAACAATATTATAATAAAAATAATAAAAAATAAGAAGAACACCCCACCCTTACCTTAATAAAAATTATTAAATTTATTTAATTAAGATGGGAACTCTTTTTTTAATAAGCCCCAATATTCCCTTGTAAATATTTATTAAAATTAATTAAAACTTATGGGACCTGTTTTAAATTATTTATGTTTATAATTTATTTTTATTTTTAATTTATATTAAAATAAATAATTCAATAATTAATTATCCACATAGCTCAACCATGGCAACCAGAGTTGAAATTGTTATTACATTTTCTTTTAATAATTATTATTTAATTGATTAAATTGTTGCCAATAACCCAAACCACCTTAGGTCCCAAATGTGATCATGCCGCCGCAAAACAATTTATTTTAAAGAAATATCTATCGGCGAATCCTGATCCTGAACGTCAATGTTATTCCCATTTTACTACAGCTACAGGTTATCTTTATAAAAAAATTCCAATACCAAAACACAGATCGCTAATACACAACGTCTGCGTATTGTTGTTATAGTTGGCCAAAGCGTAGTCGATATTTTATTGCTAGAATTTATACAATTATTATTCTTTATTACAAATAAATAACTAATTTGAAATGCTATTGTATTTTGCTAGACATGCTTTAATTTATTTCCACCACAAATACTTTTCTTTTTTTCCATGTTGTTATTGCTATTATCTACGATCCTTGTTAATTATATTGCTGCTATTCTCTGCTACGTAATTGTTCGATGAACAGGTCCACAAAGAGATGCCATAGCCGCCCGTGAATTTATATTACGTATGTTTGTGGACTTAAATCCAGATTCGGAGAAAATTATATATTCTCATTTTACATGTGCTACAGGTAAGTGAAATATCGTGAAGGATATGTTCGTGCGTGCGGAGGTCAAGGATATGAGATACACTCAATGTTATTATTAAAACATATTTATTGTCATAAACAACTGCATTTTCAGAGGAAAATATTTCATAAAATGTGATATTCCGTACCGACCAATTGGCCTTTCTAAAGACTTTTGGTCTCTATATAAACCAAGTGGTTTTAATAAAGATCTTTGGTTTCTATATAGACCAATGGGTGTTAATAAAAACCTTTGGTCTTTATACAGACCAATTGGTCTTAATAAAGACCTTTGGTCTCTATATATAGACCAATTGGTCTTAATAAAGACCTTTGGTCTCTATATATAGACCAATTGGTCTTAATAAAGACCTTTGGTCTCTATATAGACCAATTGGTCTATATAAGGACCTTTGGTCTCTATACAGACTAATGGTCTATAAAAAGACCTTTGGCCTATATACAGTCCAATTGGTCTATAAAAAGTCCTTTGGTCTCTATACAGACCAATTGGTCTATATAAAGACATTTGGTCTCTATACAGACCAATTGGTCTATATAAAGACCTTTGGTCTCTATATTGGTTTCTATACAGAAAAAGTGGTCTTTATAAAGAGTTTCCGTACAAACTGACTATTGGGTTGTACACTTGTTAAAAATCGGCCTTATTGGTCGTCCACACTTAAATTAGATGTTATGACTCTTATTCAATTATGGAACTACGTTTGCCTTTTAGTTTGGAAAACCCCCATCTGATATTCTCTCTTCGTTGTGAACTTCTGTATTATCTGTATTATTTATCTTCTGTACATTTATAACTCAGAGGACTTCAAATAAAAAAATCGTTATTAGCCTTGTTCTAGCAAAATTAGAGTCCAGTGGCTTACTATTTTGTCTAAATTTTGAAAAAAAAAAAAAAATAAACAAAGATTTCTGTGTGTCTATTTTTTGCTATTCGTTTTTATAAGTCCTTCATTTTTCTACTGTCTTAACATTGAAATACTTCTTAAGAAAAATTGAAATATTTAACCTGTTTATTATGTTTCACTTCACGATGGGTAAATTCTATTATGTATTTTTTTGCACTTCTCTATTTATGTAATAATTTGAATATATAATTTGAAAAATATCACAGCGTTTAATCGAAAACCTTGAAGGTATTTAAAAACAAATATTTTTTCTATTCTTAATTTTTATATTAATTTTAAATCACACATTTGAGCTAGTTCAGTTTGTTTTTTATGTATGCTTTTGATTTTAGCTTTCTTTGTATTTGGCTTGGAAATCAAATCTTCTTTCAAAAACAAAACTAAATTCTTGAAAATTAATATATTTTATTTCATTTTTTTATTCTTCTTAATATTATTTTCTTTCAATAACTTCTTTCTTTTTTTAAAATAATAACAACCTCTCCCACTTCTTGAAAACGACCAACAGATACTGAAAATATTAAGCTTGTATTTTGCGCTGTAAAAGATACAATCATGCAAAATGCTCTCAAAGAATTCAATTTGGGTTAAATATTTTACATATTGATGATGATGTATGTGATGAGCGTGATCGACATAACTCTGGGTTATATAAACGACAACACAACAACAAAAATTTTCTACCGATTTTATTCCCCCCTCATATATATCTTATATATTTTTTACTTTATTTATTTTTACCACCTCCTTATCTCCCTCGCTATTTTTGAATTGATCGTGGCCGAAAACTGAAAAAAAACTACTACTTGGAGTAAATGGTTAATTTTTTTATTCTCAACTAAAGATATATACGAATTAATTAAAAAATTATAAAAAAAAACAACAAAAAAACGTAATAAACAAAAACGATATTTTAGTAAACAAATTATTTAATTTCATAGTTTTATGGCAGCAAATTTATTTTCATTATAATGTATAGCAAAATTTAATAAAAATTAAAAAGAATGAAAAAAAAATATAAGCCTAAAAACAAAATAAAGTGCCAAAAATATTATTGTTGTTTTATTTTAAATTGTAAAAAATTGTATTTTATTAAACTATTATGTTATTATGAATGTATTTATTTTTTTATTCCCCCGGTGTTTTATTTTTCTCTCTGAGTTAATTTCCTAATTTTTACCTTATTCGTCCTCTATTTATAAAATAAGATAATATTCTACTATATAGAATAACTCAGTGGTTTATAGAAGACCTCCTATTTATAGAAAACCCTAAATACTATTCTATTTATTTATTTATTTATTTTTATTTATTCATTTATGTAATACAAGGCCTATAAGACCATATTTAATATTACGTAGTTAACAACAAACCCGAGCTTATAAAAACTAATATTCATTATAAAATACTAAAATTTAAATTTTTAATTATTCTAAATATTCTTGGCCCCCCAGCCATAAAATACAAACAATAATAAGAAAAGAGATGAGATTATGTCCAGTAAACCAGTAGTAAAAAGAAGAATAATAAATTTCAAAACCACCAATCATTGCAGTAAACCAAAATATAGATGAAGTTTTCTTTTAAACACATTATTAGAATGGGAGAATATTCTTAGATCATATGGCAATAAATTCCAACATCGTGCTACCCTAACTACAAATGATCTTGCATAAATGGATTTATAAATTCTTGGTATCACCACTTGAGGGTTTCGAAGAATGTGAAAAAGAAAACGTGCTGGTTAATGGTTTAGGCTCTCCAGTTTTTATTATATTATAAAATGTCAGTATATTTCGATAAGAAATGAAATTAAAAAAAGAACAACCTAAAAAGCGTTTTACATATTCAGATATAGGTCTTCTGACTGGAACATTATATATAAAACGCACAACAGCATTCAAAGTCCTACGTAACCGAGCAAGATTTATACCAATACAACCTGATATAATTTCAATACCATACAGGATATTTGACAACAGTATAGCATGAGCTACTTTCTTCTTAATATTGATAGGCATATATATATTTGATGCATAAATTTGTCTTAGTGATCCCCAAATTCTACCAGATAAAGTATCTACATGGTGCCGAAACGATAGTTCATTATCAAGAACTACGCCCAATAGTCTATGGTGGGTTACAAAGTCAATTTTATTATTACAAATTTTAATATTTGGATCAGGAAAGACGTTTTTAAACATACCAAACATCATTGCTTTCGTTTTAGACGAGTTTACTGTGAGACAATTTATAGATGCCCAACACAAAAATTGCTGAAGACATGCATTTATTGTACTCTCAAAAACTAATATATTATCATTGTACCCAGTAAATATCAGAAATATATCATCGGCAAACTGGTATGTTTTGCAAGTTTCCGACTCCACATACTCGTGTAAATCATTTACATACAGTATAAACAGTAGAGGACCTAATACGGAACCCTGTGGAATACCATTGTAAAGTGGAACCGTTTCAGACCGAAAACCTTTAACATCAACAAATTGAAATCTCCCTGTAAGATATGAGTGGATTAGTCGACATGCGGTTACTGAAAAGTTGAATTTTTCCCTTAGTTTAGTAATCATATGTTCAACATTTACTGAGTTAAAAGCTTTTGAAATGTCAAGAGATACCAATACATTTACTTTGCCCTCATTAATATTTTGCCGAATAAAATCCGTGGCCTTCAAAAGCAAATGTGTAGCACTGTGACCCTTTCTGAAAGCATATTGATTATCTGTTATTAATCTTGATGTTTGCTCTAAAATTTGATTTTTTATAACGATTTCCACTACTTTGGACAATGCTGGTAGTATTGAGATGGGACGAAGATCATCTGGGCTATTAATATTCTTCAATTTCGGAATGGGCACCACCCGAGCTATTTTCCATGCCTGAGGAAAAACTGAACTCGTCAGTATATTATTCACTAACTGTGAAATATAGTTCGATATATACGGATAGACCAACTTGATGAAATGTATCGGTATTTCGTCAACACCAACCGATTTAGACTTGATATTGGCAAGAGCCTCGAAAATCTCAACGTCTGAAACACACCGAAAAGAGAATGAAGGCATAGTGTCAGGGAACTCATTAAAATTAATTTCACCCGCGGACAAGGAATTATTATGCGCAAAAAAATTATTAATATCATTGACATTCATATTAATTTCAGGCTCATCATAATCAAAACATCCGGAATTTTTTAATATTTTCCACATCCTACTGGAATCAGCATTTCCGAAAAGTCTAGAATAGTATTTCCTTTTTGCCCTGCGTGTTACCGTTCTCGCCTTATTCCGATATTTGCAGTACAAAGACCAATTTTCTTGGGATCGATTAGATTGAAAAGCGGAAAAGGCGAGGTCTCTAATCGATCTGGCAAAAACAACATTTCTAGCTTCAATCCAACGGTCAGATCTATGATGTATTTTCTTTCGAACAATAGGTACACATGAAAAAAGATCACCAAACAGATTCATAATGAGCTTACATTTTATGTTCACATCCGCTGTACAAGAATATGCATTAGCATCAAAGTTATCTAGGATAGAAAATAAATGTTCCCAATTAATTGTATTATAATCTCGATATTCGAAGACCTCAGTGGTTTTTCTTTCAAAACAGGCTTCAATGTTATTATGAATTTATTTTTTTATTCTCCCGGTGTTTTATTTTTCTCTCAGAGTTAATTTCCAAAGTTAGTTACTGCTTAGAGAAGAACTTAGTTATCTTTTATACTTGATTCGTCCTCTATATATAAAATAGCATAATAGTGTACTATATAGAAGGCTTCAGTGGTTTATAGAAGGTCTTCTATTTATAGAAACCCCTAACTACTATTATATTTATGGAAGACTTTAGTGACCTTTCCTTTATAAAAGGCTTCAGTGTTATTATGAATTTATTTTTTATTCTCTCCGTGTTTTATTTTTCTCTCTGAGCTAATTTCCAAACTTAGTTACTGATTAGAGGAGAACTCAGTTATCTTTTATACTTTATTCGTTCTCTATATATAAAATAACACAATAGTCTACTATATAGAAGACCTCAGGGGTTTATAGAAGGCATCCTATTTATAGAAAACCCTAAATATTACTCTATTTATCGATGACCTCACTGGCCTTACCTTTATAACAGGCTTCAGTGGTATTGTAACTTAAGAATACCTTAGTGGTCGTCAATCTAAACATTGGTATTCTACATAGAGAATACACACGTGATTTTTTTTTTATTAAAAGAAGACCTCTTTGTTTCCTCAATGTCTTTTATCTATACAATACATCAGGGATCGTCTAGCTAAAGAAATCCTCATTGGACTTTTGTCTACAGAATATCTCATTTGTATTGTATTCTGTCTAAAGAAGACCTCTTTGATCTACTATCTAACGAAATAGATGTAATCCAACAGTGACGTTATTCCCATTTCTCCAAAGAGAGATTGAGGAGTTCGACACTTGGAGTGAAAATATAACATAATAACAGCACGGATAGTATCAGCGTCTTGTAGAGTGTGAGTTTGGTCTGGCAGGAAGTGGCCTTGTTTCTAAACTGCTTAATTAGAACATAGTAGCATCGGTTGGCCATCACTAACCTTCTCCGAATTTCAAAACTGATGTCATTCGTTTTATTTATGGCGGTACCAAGGTATATAAAATCTTTGAATACCTCGAAGCTGCAGTTTTCAAGTTCCACAGTTGGTCCGAGTCTACTGGACGTCCTGCGCGTTGATACCATCAGCTTGGTCTTCTCGCCGCTTACTGCCAGACCCACTTTGGCAGACTCCTTTTTCAATTTGTTCAAATGTGGCTGTTACCGCTCGCAATGTTCAACCCATTATATCGATGTCATTGGCGTATGCAAGTAGCATATGCTGTTTGGTATACAGAGTGCCATTTCTGTTCACTTTTGCGCCTCTTATGACCTTTGCTAGCAGGATGTTAAAAATAACACACGACAAACTGTCACCTTGTCTGAATCCTCGTTTGGAATTGAAGGGCTTCGATAGGTTCTTTCCGACTTGAACTGCTGACCTTGTGCCACATAAAGTTATCCTGCATAGCCGCATTAATGTTTCAGGAATGCCGATCGTAGGCATGGCTATAAACACCTCTGAACGGATAGGGGTGTCGAATGCGGCTTTATAGTCGATGACCTTATTGACCCCGTCAATGGTGGATTTGCCAGGTCTGAAGACGCATTGGCATGGTCCAATATCATTGACCATTGGTATCAATCGTTCACACAGCACACTGGATAGCACTTTATATGCGATGGGAATAAGACTAATTCCTCTATAGTTGGTACACATCGTCTTGTCTCCTTTTTTGTGCACGGGACACAGGATGTCGATATTCCAATCATTGTATATGCATTCATCTAGCCAAATTGTACTAATAAGCTGATGCATGCTCCTGACCAGCATCTGACCACCAATCTTGAATAGTTTGGCTGGTAACCCATCGGCTCCTGCTGCTTTATTGTTTTTGAGCCGATTAATTGTTTTTATGACCTTATCTTGGATGATGGTGGTATATCTCTTATTGGTTCTGGAGTATCTTCTTCACCGCCCCAATTTGTTACCAAAAGCTTTTCAAAATGCTCCTTACAGATCCTCAACACACTGTCTGTATCTGTCATCAGGTTTCCTTCTTCATCTCTACAGGAGGATGTGCCTGCACCAAAACCTTCGGTTTGGTGTTTTACTCCTTGGTAAAATTTCCGGACTTCATTCTGACTCCTGTACATCTCGATCTGCTCACGCTCACATTTTTTTTCTTAACATTGTGCTACATTAGAAAATTCCAAAAATGTCTTCATATAAAATCGAAGATATGACAAAACAGGGATTAAAAATAGTTTTACGTCATTTTAACACATAAACCAATAGATATAAATAAAAACTGACCTGAAAATGCGAAAATATTACCATTTCGATTGAAAAATCCTGCTGCATCTTTCTAAATACCGAAAATTGGCGATATGTTTTTATAACAGGTATTTTTTGAACATTTTCTGTCTGGAGGTTTAATTTATTATTATGAAACTGAAATGCCAGAAAACAGCCACTTCGTTAAAAATGTTCCTCCTCTAATACGTTTAATATATTACAAATATTACTTCGGTTAAAAAAATGCGACTTGCAAATGCCTAAAATACCCTCCAGTCGATGTTTTCTGTTACTAAGAATTGGACATTTGCAGGTTAGACCTCCCCAAAAGAAGTCACTTCTTCATGTAGGGTGGTCGAATCTGCAATTTAAGCATTTACTTTGTAATTTCCTGAACTAATAAAACACCGACTTAAAGCACTGTGCACAAACTTGCCAAGATAATGATGCTACAGTCAAACTTCCGTAACTCGGCCTCTCATTATCCCGAACAAAATCTTCGAGTTATAGGATTAATCACAAATTGTCTCCATAGTGATACTGGCACTATATGTGCTTCGACTATAAATGAGTTTATACGAACCAAGTGTTTGAATATGTTGGACAATTTTTAAGAAAATAAATTTATTCAAATCATACCCATACCATACGACTTCATTGAAGGAGTCACATTGATTCCACTTTTTTATATTTTTTAATACATTATATTCCTTTTTAATAATCTCCTCTCTTCTCCTTTAATTTAGATACGGAAAATATACGATTTGTGTTTGCAGCTGTTAAGGATACAATTCTTCAATCAAATCTAAAGGAATATAATTTAGTCTAAAACGGGTCATTATTTAGACACAGCAACCACACAACAACAACAACAAACAAAAGAACTAATTTTGTGATTTTATTAATTATGAATAATAAATTCCTTCTTTTTTCACTACAACAACAAAAACAAAACACCCAAAACAAAGAATATAACCCCCCCCCCCCCCCCCCCCCCCCCCCAAAAAAAAAAATCCAATAACAGCAGATCAAGAAAACAAAATTATAAAATTAATTGATTACAAAAACAACAACAAAAAAGGAGAACAACAAAATAAAATTCTTTAATAATAAAAATAAAACCCAAGAAGAAAAACATAAAGCACAAAAAATCATAAAAAATATTTGAGTACATAATAAAAAAATAAAAACAAAAACAGTGTACTAATTTAATAAAACAAAAAATAAATAAGATGAGAAAAAAAAAACAAAAACAAAATTTTATAACGCTAATTATAACAAATTATATACTTTATATATATAAAAAACAAAAATATAATTAAAAAAATAAAACTATAATAAATGAAAAAAAGAAATAATATGAGAAGAAGAAGAACACAAACAGCAAAAAAATTAATTGGGTTTTGAAACAAAATTAATGTAAACAGCAACAAAGAACAAGCCGATTTAATATTCCCTGATTAATAATTTTTCCAAAATAATAAATAAAATACAACAACAAGATTCAAGAAAAGGCCCAAGAAACAAGATTTTTTTATTCGGAGGAAGCTAGAGAAGAAAAAACAAAACAACTGGAAGATGAAGAAAATAACAGATCTGCGTGATGCGGTACTAAACATATATATACGGACTAAATTATAATTTAATTTGTAATAGAACAAAATAAATAAATTATACTAACCCCCTCTTCCGATACCCCATTCATTATGTTTCCCCCCTCTGTGTGAACAATATACATACATATAATACTAACATCCAATTTATATATGTTCTTTTTTTTGTGTTAAATTATTTCTTTTTATGTCCAAAAAATATAAAATTCAATATTGAATTGCTACAACTACCAAAACAACAAAATACACACACGCACACAACTGTTACTAAAATATAATAAAAAGAAATACATTTAACAAAACATAAATAAGTAAAAATAAAATTGTAACAACCACAACAAAAAAGTATCAGAAGCATCAGCAAAAAGAAAACTCCTACAGATTTAAGAAACACACACATATATATATTTAAATCAAATAAATATATTTAATAAAATAAAATATAAAAGAAAAAACAAATTCTCCAACTTCTTCTTCTATATCTCCTCTCTCACTCCTCTTATATACTGTTTAATACATAAGTTTTAATATAAAACAAACAAAAAACAAATTCAAAATGTATGAATCAAAACAAACACACAAACACCTTACAAAGAATACAAAAAAAATGAAACATCCATTTTGAAGAGCTGCCTTGTTTAATAAATTAATTAATAAATATATGTTTGCGAAAATATTATAAAAAAAATAAAACAAAAAGCATACCTATCCTTGTCCCTTCCCCCCACCCCAAAACTCCCATTCATTATATTTACCAAAAACAAAATACACGCACATACTTTATTTATATGTTCAAATGGCAATTTGAGGAAAAATTAAAGAAAATAGTTTAAAATTTTGTAATTAAAAAAAATTATAATTCTAAAATAGTTTATTTTTATTATCAATTGTATTTATAATAAATCTCTTATATAATTTATTAAAATGATGTGATTTAAAATATTTTTTTTTTTAGAGTAACATTTTAATCATTTTTTCCATAAAAGGCGGAACCATACCAAAATTCAAGTATGACTCGATGATGAAAACGAAGGGCTTACTACCAATATCCTGGTATTTGGAAAAATAGTTAATCTCAATCTTGCAACTGTTTTTTTTTTTTTTTTGAATGCCCAAAATATAGGAACTTAAGAGCAACCTTTCCCCCTTTATGGCCCAATGTTGCCCACAGGCAACAAAATGTTTTAGAGCTTATAGTTTTTATACAGCTAGAAGATATGCATTCTTTGGATTTCCTATGTCAAGCCAAAATGTGTACAGTACTAATTTGTGTATACAGTCCAAATTATTTATATCGCTTCGTATTCAAAATGTACGAATTTTGTCATCAGAATTATTTTTAATAGAGAATAATTTAAAATGATTTTTTTGTCGATTTTGCATTTGGTTTTTCAGAAAGAATGTACTGTGTCTCCCGAATGCAAGGATGTAGCGATGTCAAATGTTGTCCATATTCTATCTAGGATAGTTGCATTAAATCTGTGAACAGAAAATTGTTTTATGATTACGGAAAAAAACCGGGGCTCAAAGGGTTAATATCCTTTCTGACACCAAAAATGGTTGCCACCTAAAGGAACAGGCCAACGCAACGCCATTCTATAAATCCTTAAACAAAGGGATCAAGTCTCAAAAAATGGATTGGATACTAAGTCACTTGAATTTGAATGGTGAAAAATTTTATAAGACATTGCCTCGGCGCCAGAATTTAAATATCACACACGATCTGCTATGTGTCTGTTTTGAGGTAAAATTGATGTCGAACGGATTGCCATGTGTTACTCCAAACCTGTCAAATTCGTTCGATACGTAAGGATATTTTCTTGAAAATTTCCTAACAAATCTAAGGTTTATTCTGGTGAAAAGGAATTCCTGGCCAAACATATAATCAATTTTACTTGAGAATTTTCACTGGAAGCCACATTGGACTTTCTTTCTTAATGGTTATAAAGATTAAGAGGTTTAAATCTATGAAATAAAGTCAAAAATGTTGTTATATTTTATTTCATTATTCTTTTAAATTTGTTAATTGTTTTAATTTCAATTTCAATTTATTTCATAAACGAGAATCTAGCCCAAATGGCCAAAAGCGATTCAAAAAACAACAAAATATTTAATCCAAAATACATGTCAATATTTTTTTTAAATATAATAATTACTCCCTAATTGCCATTTAACATATAAATAGAAAACAACATAGTCAAACACAACACCCTTGATAATCCCTAAAATAACTCCCTCCCCAATTCCCTCCTTCCCCCAAACTAACTCATAATATAATACAAATATTTTTGTTTTCTTGTCTCATAAACAAAAAATTATTTTTTAAAAAAAACCAAAATTATATTTGTAAATTAAAAATATAATAATAAAAGAAAACTATACAACAACAAACAAAACACTAATGAGTATATGTTTTTTTTAATAAAATATATAAATATATATTTATATTAATTGTTTTCCTTAATTTATAATGTGTCCTATAAAACAAAAACTAAAAACGTAATAAATTAATGTGTAAACATAATTTTTTTGTTTAATGTTTTTATTTTGTTTTTTCCTTTCCCCCTTCTAGTATCATTCGTAATTTTTTTATCATAATCATAATTTAAACCAACAAACACACACAAACAAATAATAATTAATTATATACATAATAATTATATTTTATTGTATTTTTAATAAAACGAAAAATTTTATTATTAAATGTCTCCTTATATATTATTATTATTTACAAAACAACTTTTATTTGTTTTTTGTTTTCTAATTTCTACATAATTATTATTACCACTACAAAGAAAGAAAAACAAAATAAAACATATTTTTTTGTTTGTTTTTATTTTATAATTTATAGAAGAAGAATAGAATGAAAAAAAAACAGAAACCCCCAAAAGTAAATGTTAAATTTTTGTGTCATATATATATTTTTATAATTATGATTTTTATTTTTTAATCTAAAATAAACTACGGAAAAGAAGAAAGAAGAAAAAAAAAACAATATTTAATATTAATAATTTATATGCGCACATTCAACAACAAAAAATAAAAAAAAAAAATCAATAAAGTGGATAAAAAATAAAGAAAAAAAAACATTACCAAACTAATTTTGTTATAATTTTTTTAGTTATTTTTTATTGTAATTTTTTATATATTTGATGTATGTTTTTACTTTTCATTTCCTGTATTGTTTTTTTATCAACTTTGTATCTGCTCCTCCCAATAAGTGTAAATCAAAACTACAGATGACTCGCCTGGGAAATATATAATTTGAAGAATATTGAAAATTTCGAAAATTCTACAGCAGCCGTTTAAAAAAAATTCTCATAAATTAGAGAATTTTTATAAATTTTGTATACATTTATAAAAATTTTTTATAGCTTGTGCGACTGACTCTTGATGCGTTGTTGATATTGACCTCGCTGCCGACGATTTGCCTTGAGTATCTTCTTTCTAATGGACGTGGCGCTTGCCTTGCAGGTGCAGAAGTGCACAGTGGAGTCCCCTTCCAACTTCGTTAACTTCGTGAATGTTAAAAAAATTTTTGGAATTGTAGCAGTTTTTTCTACTATACCATATTCCTGCTTAATCTTCTTCTGTTTCAAAATCCAGATTCAAAAAGGCTGTGTTCAATAGTGACGATAGGGTTAGGTGAGTAGGTTTTGGCTGGACTGCTTTCGGTGACGGGTATTAACCGAGCACTGGATTTACCCTGTATTGCTGTAATTGCTTTCTCAACTGGATCAGTTTGAACTCCATTCCGTCCTGCTCAATAGTCCTGTTGACATATGGGGTTCTCTTTTGTAGCTTTGGACCTCTGCCTCTCTCTTCAAATGATGAAAATGCTTCCTGACATGCCTGTGAGTTGAATGCCTATCCTAAGGTGGTGGATTGTATGGCTTTCAACAATTTCTATTATATAATAATTTATATTATATTTCTATTATTTAATAATTTATATTCTATTTCTATTATTTAATAATTTATTTTTTGTTGTTTACTGAAACCTTCGATTCGATTTGATCATATAAAAAATGTAAAGGTAGTAGATTCTATTATTTAATTTTTTTCATTTACTGATATATGTTATTCATTTCAATGTGTATTTTAAATTATAAAATTAATTTTTTTATAGATTTAATTTTTTTAACTAACATTTATGCATTTTTCCGGGAAAAATATTTCTATGGTCGTCAAGGAAAATATTGAAATTAAAAAAGTGTTGTATAAAGCTTTAAATAAATAAACATTAATGTAAACAACCACTCACACAAATACAACAACATCATCACACACATATAACAAATATATAAATTAATAAAAAAAAAAAACAAAATATAATAATACAATTTTATTAAATATTTACAAATAAACTGAAAACATGATTAGCTTTTAAAAAGCTTCAATATTCACACACACACAAAAGGTTTTTAAAAATAATTTTTAAGGTATATTTATTTTTTTATCTGTAATTTGTTATTACATATTTTTAATTTAAAATGTTTTTGTTTTACAATATGTATTTTAATTTGTTTCCGTCCAAAAAAAATAATTATATATTTTTGAGAAAATGTTGTATTTAAATGCTTTCTTTTTCTAAATTATTTGTTTACAATATATTTTCATTATACATATTATTATATTTTATTTTTAATGCACATGTCGTTGTTGCTGTAGATTTAAAAGAAAAACAAACAAACAAAAAATAGACAACAACAATGTTTGAAATGGGGACCATTTTTACAAGTTCCTCTCTCCATACACACACATACATTTCAAAACCAAAAGCAGGAATAAAATGAAACAGCAAGAAATAAAATGAAAAAATGAAATTAAAAAAAAAACAAGCAAACACACAAATATTTAAAGAAAATATTTTTTTTTATTTTTATTTAGTCAATTTGTTTTACTTATTTAAAATAATAAAGAAAAATAAATATTTCTATTTATTTCAAATATTTTTTTAAGTAAAACAATGAAATGTGCATACATATTGGCATATGGATTTTAATGTTTTTTTTATTTTTTTATGAGTTTTCTCAAGTTTAATAAATTTTGAGCACCAAGAAAATTTTTAACAATTTATAATGCTCTGTAATTTTAGATTTGGAAAACCTTACAAACCTTTGGTAGTTTCAATTTGTTTACATCCTACTCCACTCCACTGAGCCTGTGCATTTTGTGTGTAGCATCCATAAGGGAACTATATAGATTCATGGCCGTTTTTGAGGTTATGTTTAGAATTGACTTTTTGAATCGATTTAATCAAGTCCATATGTCTTGTATTTGTAAGCATATTAATGACCGCTTTTATATTACAAGGATGTATAATTTCGTCCGATTTCATGAAAATGCTGCACTTAAAGCCACTACGTATGTCTGATTGACAAGACATTTTGTGCATTCAACTGCAATGAATCTAAAATGAAGTGTATCGAATTTAATTAAAATAGATTTAGTTTTAAGCATAACTCTCATGCAAAACTTCTTTCCGATTTACATCAAAACTTGGTATCGGCTGCTGACTTGAGTTTACAGTGTCATGTGCGAAGTTGGCATTAAATAGCTTCAATATTTTTAATATAGCTCCCTATATATAACTAAGTCCCGATTCAAATATACAGCCTTATTCTGGACATCATCAATTCACCGTAAATTTTCTTCGCTCTTCCCTTTAAAGATATTCAGATAATTCGAAATCGATTTAAAAATGTCCATCCTTGCAAACTTAAATCAAATTCAAAGATGGGAAATATTGGTCCACTTCTTCTGGGTACATCCCACACTGAATGCACAATGAATAGGTAGTCCATTTATCGCAGCTGATGTCTTGATTAACTGTCAAAGTGGGTAATTTCTACTTGAATTCGATGTGCAGTGTTGCCAACCATTTGAAATATTATATGGAAAATTTTGACAGATAATCGAGACAAAAACAAAAGTTTTTGTTTTGATATATCACCTTATTATTGCATCACCATTCTATCCATTAAAATCAGCTTTATTCTGGACATCAATTCACCGTGAATTTTTTTCGCTCTTCCCTTTAAAGATTTTCTGAACCAAAACTCGCAGCGATTTTTTTTTGCATTCTCGCTTTCGCCTTATTCTGAATGAAGTTAGAAAGTGAAAAAATTAGCTATTCTGGATTACAGGAAGTGGGAGAATGTTATGACATTTTGTGCGAAATTTTTCGCTAATTAATTTAAAAGAAGCTGACAACAAAAATATAACTTTTAAATATTTTTATGAAAAATATCTACACAGCAAAATCGTCATAGAAGATTTTGAATATTATATGTAAATGATTTTATGCATATTTTTAATTTCAAAAGAACAAATAAAATGCCATTGGAAATCTTATTAATAAGGATGCATAAGGCAATACGGAATATTTAAGCCGGGTTTGAAGCATATTGAAGTCAAAAAAAGACGTTTTGTGTGAGAATCTGTCTCTTCAAAAAAAAAAAATATATATATTTATATACATATATATATATATATAAAACTCAAATAGAAATTTTGAATGAAAAATAATAAAGCTAACTAATTTTTCTTTAAAAATTATATTGTGCATGATTTTAGGGACGAAATAAAGTCATTAAATAATTGTCCACTTTAAAAATTTGTGGAGACAAAATATCGAAATTAAATAAATTGTGAAATCATAAAGTGCGATTTAATTTAATTCAATCGCAAATTTCTACCCATAATAATAGAAATAATTCACAATAATGGATTTTGACAGCAAACTCAAGAAGCAGCTAATAAACAGCTGGTCTCCCTGGACGACCTTATTTATAGGCCTTGTTGTTGCACCAAATTGCATCAAAACAATAAACAGCTGTTTCACATGCCATATTTTATGTTGCCATATTTTCAAACTTTAATTTATTTTCTTTTAATTATAAAGCATTTTTACAGCGGATCCTTCACATATTTCACATTTTTTTGTTATAAAGTTGTTGCATCAAAACAACAAACAGCTGTTTCATATGTCATATTGTATGTTGCTATATTTGTAAGCTTTTTTTATTACAAAGCAGTTTTACTGTGGATTCTTTACATATTTCAAATGTGTATTGTTATAAAGTTTAAATAACAGTAACAAAGAAACAATGTTTAATAAAAGAATAAGTCATTAAATAAAATATTGAAAAAGGTTACAAAATTAAATCACAATGGGGCAGCACACATTACAATAAATTACAATATACGGCAACGCGAATCTTTTTTTTTTTTTCAACCACCATTTTCGAAAATGATTCGAATCCGCATCTAACAATTTTTGCTTCTCCCTATACATTCAGAATAAGGCGAGAATGTAAAGGCGAATTTTTCACGAACGAGATATCTCCCTAGCGAATATCCAGAATAAGGCTGATAGGTATCATATTTAATTTGGGGCGATTTCGGTGATTGGTGCACCAAAGATTGAAACGAATTGTAAGATAGGAACGAAATTTTGAATAGCCTATGGTATTGAGTCTAGCATGTGGGGCAGGGATGGAAAATTCAGTACAATAGTACTTTTTTAGTACATTTTTACCCAAAAAAAGTACCGTAGTACCCCCGTGACCATTTCAGTACCATTCCAATCCTCCATTAGACCATGATATATATACATTTTTTGGATTAGAATTTGTTATGGATTTGACCGGCAAAAGTATTGCAGATAAAGATATTGATGTGATTGCAATATTCGTCTTAAAAAATGAATGGGTTTACGACTGATAACTGTTCAGTTATA